TGGATCCAGACTTGACATTTGGGATTCAGACATTTCGACGAGGGACTATTTGGGCTGTGCCGAAGACTTGGTGTTGACGACATTCCCATCTTCCCCTCCTCTTCGTCTAACCCCCTTCTTCTTCGTCTGTGTATGGTAGGGGCTGGCGCAGTCTTTCTGTGTGAAGCGCCAGACCCCATTCACACCGTGTAACGATGATGATGATGTATGTTCAGGGCTGCATTGTAATATTGATTCACCGTTTCAGTGTGCAACACTCTGTCCATTCTTTTCTTGCCTAACAATGCTGCCGAGTCTGACCACCACAAGCGTGCTCTTTGGTCATCGCCAGGTAAGTCGCCTGTTCCCAATGCTATCCTCCCCTGATCACCCCAGCCCCAGCACCACCCCACTTCCACCCAGCGCAGCTATGGCTGCCACTGGCGGAGCAGCTGCCTATGGCTGCTGCTCCCCCTTCTTCTTTGTGTGAGCACTGGAAAGTTGCTAGTGCTCATGCTAGCACAGCAGCCAGTACCTACGAATGTGTGGAATGCTGCATCGTCCTCCCCTTTGTTACATCCTGGAGGCCGCCGCTGCCTGACTGGAAGTGAGCTCTTCCCAGACTCAGAACCTTCCGGACTGAGTACCAGGGCCCCAGCCTCTGCAAGGGACCTGTAGGCTGGGCCTACTGGTTAGTAAGAGAGGCTGCACCCAGCCTTCCAACTGAATCATGCCAGGGCTGGCGGACCCCTTTTCTGCCTCGACCTTCACTTGGGGCTGGACGTGATTTTTCTGGGTACTCCCTGGTGGAGGCCTGCCGAGGCCTGAAGCCTTGCATCTTAGTTCTCCAACAGATGTTGGACTTGGGACAATATGATCCTTTTTTATCGAAGGGTGATTTCACAGCCACGAACTGAGTCCATTGCTGATGTCCAGTCATTCGATAATTTTACTGTGCTTACCTCCATCTCTGCTTCCGCTTTCTTCCTCTCTCGCTTAATCTTGAAATACTCGGAGCCTTCAACATCCTGCACCAGGCAAACACACACAGTGTACAACAAGCAAAAAAACCATGGAAGGGAGTTAATGGGATTGACCTTCCTGGAATAAAGCACTGAAATCATACCTGCAGCTCATCCATTGCGTGCCGATTGCGCACGCAGTGCACTCTCACCGGGCACACGCTCTCAATGCAGCGCATCAAGTAATTAGGGGTACCCCCCCCCAACAAAAAAAAAAGGGGTTTGAAAGTCTGCTAGCGCCCCCCCCTCCCGCCCCCCTCCCCCCCCCGGCAAAAACAAAAAGCAGGTCGCACGGAGATGAAAATCGGCCGATCAAAGGCCTTGAATTTCTTTTGGTCTAGAGCCAGGCGAGGTGCCGACCCGTAGTTACGGCCTTCCTCATTTGGTCCGTCATCTCCATCGCTGTTGGCAGGGTTGGAGTCTAGAGTGACGAGGGAGGAGGGAGGAGGGAGGAGGGCAGAGGGAGGATGCAGGAGGAGGGAGGATGGATGAGGGAGGACGCAGGAGGGATCAGCGGTGGTAGACGACCAGCGGCGACAGGCGACATCTTTGTGTGTGGCCATCGTCATGTGGGCCGTCATCTCCATCGCAGTCAGCAGGGTTGGAGGCTCGATCGACGAGAAGGGAGGAGGGTGATGCAGAAGGAGGGAGGGCGGATGAGGGAGGACGCAAGGATGCTTTGACTCCTATCCTTGATGTCTGCATACCCCGAATGCAGGTAAGCGTGCCATCTTGCCTTTTACCCCTCCAAGCTCAAAAACAAAGAAAACAAAAGAAATTGTGGTATTGAAAGTGAAAATTAAGAAATGCACCGGAGAATGAAACATTGAAAGCTAGCATCTTTGAGTGTGAAGTTTCAACAAATACATACTCTGCACCTGCACAGGACAAACTAAAAAACAAAACTGTGCACCGGGCGCACAGGCTCATAGGTGCGCAGTGTACTATACACTGAGCACTGTGTGCTACAAAACCCGCGCACGCGGCCGGGCGCACTGGAGCGCATCGTGCATCACACCCGTGCGCCAAGTATGATTGAAATGTATCAAAACAGTGATGTCAAATTTTCAGTTTCTCTTCAGAGTGAACAGTATGCAAGGAAAATGTGCAATAGCGAATTCCAGAAACCAAGCAGCATCATACACATGAAACCAGATAGTCTTGACCTCGAACCAAAAGCAGAATTGCAACTTGAGTTCCACCAAATAAGAGCACAGCAAAGCTCACAATGGCAATGCTGGAATAGTCTCATCATCATCATCAATGAATCAATGTCGATTCCCTATCTGGCGCTCAGCGCCCAGACTACAAATGGCAGATCCTATCTAGCCTATCTACAATGCCGCTGGTGACGTCAACAGCTCCCCGAAGTACGAGCAGATCTCGGCCAATGCCGTTCACATCAAGCACCGGGTATGTCCCTCGATTCACTCACAACCTCGATCCTCCACACAGATGCCACATGCACCCGAAGACCACCATGCGCCCCATCCAGCAACACGAAGGCCAGCCCGGCTATGGCTGCCTGCTTCTTCCCTGCTCGCCCGTGAGCGCGTAGGCACTCGCTCCAGCAGCTGGCACAGCAGCGCTTGCGCATAAGCAGCGAGTGCCCAAATGTCCAGCCAGCAGCCAGGCCCTTTGCTTTATGGATTGAGGCTGCCAGTCGTGGGCTGCCTGGCTGGCCTGGGCCTCTCCCAGGAAGCTTCCGGTAGGCCCCAAGTGGCTGAGCCCCTGTCCCAGGGCCTGGGGAGGTTACCCGTGTCCAACTACCCAGTCAGCCTGTGCTCAGTTCATGCACTGTGTCTGGTCCAGGGCCTGCCTCCGATTCATCTGTTAAAGGGCCTGAAGACCCAAAAGATTGGCAGGCAGGGCCTGGGCGCATTCAACCAACTGACGTGGTGCAACTGCCTGAATTTCCCCAGCTGCGTTGAAACACAAAATAGGCCTCTCATCACTGCTCAGGCGTGCCTTCACTAAGGGCGGCCGTTCTTGCTGAAAACAGGGCTCAGTCGGGCTTACCGAGGCCTTTAGCCTCCCATTCACTCCTCCATACTTTGATAGTCCTCTGAGAAGTTCATTGAATCTGGCGCTTTCCCTTCTGCAGCAACTTCTCATAGTGAGCGACAACCTGTGGAGCGGTCTGCATCAGTTCCTCCCTTGTAAACCATCTGTCCTCTTTTGGATCAGTGTGATGCCTGAACCGAACGCGATACTGTAGCTTCGGCTTCGGAGGACGGGCCCTGCCTGTTGGTCTTGGAACCGGCTGGCGTTGTTGTACAGGCCGGCGATGAGAGCAAGCTTCTCATCCCAGTCTGCCTGATTAGGCTTGATATAGTGCCTCAGCAGGTGTTGTTCAACGCGGTTGAACTGCTCTGCTTGTCCGTTTGCCTCTGGGTGGTTCCCAGAGGTCATCTGCAGCTCTGTCCCTTGTTCAGCAGCTGCAGCCTTCCACAACTCACTCGTGAATCGTACATCCCGGTCACTAACAACAGACTTTGGCAGACCAAAGTCTCTCACCCAGTTCTCTTTAAACAGTTTAATCACGTACTCGGTCTCTCTCGCACACCTGACAAGTCTCCACGTACAGCTTGGCGTCTTTCATCACGGTGGGCCACCAGAATTGCTGCAACAAGTTACCTGCAGTTTTCTTGCCAAAATGTCCAGTGGCATCATGACACTCACCTAAAAATAAACTACGCAAAGACTCTCTCTATTTGGCACACAAACGTTTATTCCCGGCCTTCTCGAGGAACAGCAGGCCATCGACCAATACAAACTTGTCAAAAGTCACCTTGTCCTTCGCTTCGAGTCTGCGTATGATATCTGCCATGAACAGATCCTCGCAATAGGCTTCCACCAAGGACCGAGTAACATCGTCCGCAAGCCCAAACTCTGTAATCAGCGCCCCAAGGAAGTCTGGTCTACACAACAGCGCATCAACAACCTTGTTGTACTCCCCTTTGATATGTTGAGGCTCGAAGTCATATTGTTCTTTGACTTCAATCTAGCGTTTCAAAGCATCGGAGAGTACCGGTTGGGTCCTCATCCACCTCAGGGTCTGATGATCAGCCCTGACATAGAAGAATCGCCCAAGGAGGTAGTGCCTCCAGTGAGACAGCGCTTTGTAGATCGCATAGAGTTCCTTCTCATAGGTGGACTTAGCCAACTTCTAAGAGGGCATCTTTTTGCACATGTACTCTATCGGCCTCAACTTCTTCCTCTCTTGTTGCGCAAGCACGGCACCAATGCCATATTGGCTCGCATCCGTGGTCACAACGAACGGTTTGTCAGGATCAAGAAGTTTCAAGACCTCATGGTGTGTCAGGGAATGCTTCAGATGTCTGAAAGCAGCCTCACACCTGTCCTTCCACTCCCAAGGGGTGTCAAGGCGTGTGAGGTCCGACAAGGGTGCTGCCACTACGCTATAGTTCTTCACGAAATTGCGGTAGTAGTCGGTCATCCCCAAGAAGGACCTCACCTTAGTCACAGACTGAGGACGCGGCCAGTCACAAATGTTGGCCACCTTCGTGTTATCGGGCTTTAGTCCCTTCGCGAACATCTCATGACCCAGATACAAGATCCGGGTGCGGCCAAACTCGCACTTCTCCCGGTTGATCTTGAACAGGTGTTGCCGAAGGAGACTAAGAACTTTGTCTAGATAGGCAACATGCCCCTCGACAGTCCTACTGAAGATAAGTATGTCGTTGATGTACACAACGACAAACTTATCTAAGTCGTCCTGAAAAATCCGGTTTATCGCGTGCTGAAAGGTGCCAGGAGCGTTGCAAAGGCTGAAAGGCATCACCACAAACTTGTACAGACCGTACCTGGTCTGAAAAAAGGTTTTGTGTTGATCCTCAGGCCGGATTGCAATCTGATAGTATCCGAACTTCAGGTCTATCTTACTGAAGTACCGACACCCTTGCACTCGGTCCAGCAAGTCATCGATGCGCGGTAGGGGCTCTGCGTTCTTCAGGGTGATGGCATTGAGGCCCCTATATTCAATGCACATCCTCAATGTTTCCCCCTTCTTTGGTACAAATAGGACAGGAGACCAGTAAGGGGAGACACTCGGCCGGATCCAACCCTTCTCTATGAGATCCTTTAGTTGTCGGCGAAGCTCATCAAGCTCCGTTGGAAACATCCGATCTATCCTACTCTTCAGAATACTAGACCCTGGGATAATTTCTATCGCATGGATGACCTCCTTCTCAACAACCCCTTTCGGCTCTTCAAATAGATCCGGGTACTTAGCGACCACTCCCTCTATCTCTGACGGCATTTTCACCAGCTCACCCTCTGTAGAGACTTACACTAAGTACATACCCTCCTCCGGATTTTGCTTATAATAATTGTAGAACGCGGCCGCACACATGCACCCGTAGGACTCAATCAAACTACTAGCTTTATACTTGCGTAATCTGGCAGTCCCACCTCCTGGCAAAGTGTGTTTGACCACTTTTCGGTCCCAGTCAAACTGGGGCTGTGCAACCGAAAGATAGTACATACCCAGCAAGATATCCATAGGGAGATCATCGCTGACTAGGAACGAGATTTTATGTCTCAATTCCCCTCCCGCATACGGGAAACAACACTCTACATCTTTTAGGTAGTCATTGACTACCATGCGCTATTTGTTGGCGCAGGTCGACTCCACAGGTCGACTGAGGCGTTGCACTTGCCCCTGTAAGCGCAGCCGTTCAACACATGCACGACTAATAAAGTTCCTCGTCGAACATGTATCGTAGAAGGCCCCAGCCTTACGGCCGCCTATATGTACTTCACTGACAAATAACTCACCCTTAGGAGCTTTAGCCATTGCCATCCAAGAAGCTAGTGGGTTTGATCTAGACCAATCCTCCTCTAGCTCCTCTGTTACATGTTGCTCCTGCAACAGGCTGCACGGGCCATTTTCAGGCTCGTGTCGTTTTCAGCCTGGAAGCATGAAAACAAGGGCCTACAGGCCCTGTGTCGTTTCAGCCTGAAAGCTTGAAAACAAGGGTCTA